ACTACTGTAGGTAAATTAAATAAAAGTTAACTCCTATAAATTTAAAGATAGTCCATAAACTAATTTCGATTATGAATAATAACTACTAACTGTCAGAGGAAAAGAAGAAACTTGACATCAGCCATCTTTGTCGCCATTTTATTGAAAAATCGATTTTTATTCAAAATCTGAGCTAGATAGGTATAGGAAACCCTAATATAGTTTGAAAGAGCATTTGAATCTGCTTCGATTTATTATAAAAAATACAGGGTGTCCTATTTGAAATAACGAAGTTTTAGAGTAAAATAAGTATTTATAATAGGCCAGGAATTTTTGACACCCCTGTATACATTAAACGAAGCAATCAAATTTTTCAGTAAAGTTATTTCTCTGGCTTAAAAGTCAGCACAGGAATTAGTTCTGAAAAGCAAAGTACAGGGTATTAATGATCTATTCTAATGTAGCAGGCATTTTTAAATATATTTAGATATTTCAAAAACCAAATATAATTAATAACTTTTTTTGGGCCTAAGAATCCAAACATGAAATAAAATACAGGGTGTTTCATAAGAAAAAATATAACTTTGGTATAGATCTTAGTTCTGAAACACCCTGTACATTTCAAAATAATTTTAAATTGTGCACATTACCTCCCCACATATACTCATAAAATATTTTGTTTCTACATCTTTCCGTTTTCGTATAATCAACCGAGGCGAATGAGGTGCGCCACCCTGTATATTAGAGAAAAACTGACCAAAACGTAAGGCGAAAAAATACGCAAAAAAATCCACCCGGGCCCCTCCTCACAATGCCACCCGTGCCCCTGTGGCCTAGTCCGACCCTGGATCGACGTACTGTACTGAAGAAACATACGAGTAAAGAATTAGCGTATTTGCTTCAGCGTGATCGTAACGGAAATTATGGACTTAGCAGCATTTCGGAGGCTATTTCTGATCACTGGGAGTTAGCAATATTATTGAGTTAAAATAACATTTTTTTTTAATTGTAAAGAATTTAGCTGGTTTCCATATTTATAGAGTATTTTTTTCTCTTTCTATCAGTATAAAAAAACTTATTCACGTAAAAAATGGAGGTAGCAGGTTATCACGTTTCACTGACGAGTTTCTATAGTAAACGCCACGAATGTTTGGGAGTGATTCATCGGTCGCTACCATGTGAACTAATCTGTTCAAGGTCACATAAAACTTAATTCTAGTGCCGCGGTGTTTCAAGTCATATAATAATCAATATATAATCTGTTGTAATTTGTTGTTTTAACTGTCAAAGTCTTGTCAAAACATATATTTGGTTATAAATATAAACTGGAATGCCCCATTGGACTGACGCACAAAAACGAATCAATCAAAGAAACGCGATACAGTATGGTCTTTGCTTTGAATAAGAAGACTAAGGAAGGAGCATATCAAATATCTTAGGTACACCGTGATGGGCCTCAAATATGGCCGACTTAAATTCCGTTCAACAGTGTCGTTCTAATTTTATTTAAAAAATGTAAAACTATGATGTAGGGTAGACGTGGGGTAGACCCAATAATTTGTTGTTTTATTTTACGTTGTGAATAAGTGTTGGTAGTTATTAAAATTGTTATATAAATATATAATTCTAATAAAAATAGATAAGTTATAATAAGTATTTATTACCACAAACATCCCATACGCTACTGAAGCAGGTAAATCAAATTAACGTATCTAAATTCTTTCACATCTAATCTTTGACAAGTAATAAACAAAAGCCATGGCTGGGAAACTTAAATGGAAATGACAGTTCATTAAAAATAGTTTTTCCTCCAAGATGCAGAGGCGCAAAATATTAAAACTGTCAATATTAATAATGCAAATGTCAATATCTGACAATAATAAAATTTGATTTTTAACTGTCACGAGACATCAGAGACGTTTTTGTTTTGATTTTACGGTTTGATTTCGTTTTGATTTGTCGAATTATTGTAAAATTAAATTCCTTCAGATTTTTTGCCAGTATTCTGTTTTAGACAATTTGTTTTTTAAAAATGGTGGGACAATTTGTGTTTTGTATAGACTCTTAATTATTTTTTATCATGGAGTTTAATTGTTGTACACCTGGTTTCCGAAGGATACAATGGTAAGTAAATTAAACATATCTAGTTACAGTTATAGATTTTTTAAATTAGTACTGCAAATAAATGCTACTTGCTGAGCAGTTATTTAATTTTTTTTACGGTGCATGTAAGGAATTAAGGACGCGCGTTGCGTTATATTATCATGATCAACAGATGACTACATCTAATTTAATTTGTTTTTATTATTTCAGGTCTCAAACGGAAACAAACTGGGAATCTTGCCTATACCAAAATTATATAGCCCTTTCCAATTCACTTCAAAGGGAGGAAAATTATGTAAAACTGCCTGCTATTTACTGAAAACTGCCAAAGATTAAATTATAACTGTAACAACTTAATATATACTATTTCTAGTCTTTTTAATATTTTTTTTTAATTAATATCCGACATATAAGAACACTTTGTATGGTTTTAATTAAGTTGATTTATCGTTTATAATATGTTCGACCTAATTAAAAGCACACAAAGTGTTCTTACATGTATTTCTAAATTTATTTTAAATTAACTAAAACAACCCCCTTCCCCGCACCCCTCTACTCCATTAGTATTTCTTCCTCCGACTACCAGAGGCGCCGTTGTATAATAAAATTGAAATGTATTATAAGTTGCCTATCTATTTAATAGTATAAGTCTTTTATCTATGATAAAAGCTAAAATGCAAGAAAAATATATAATTTAGTTAATTTAAGTGAATTTCATAAATGATCGGTTTACTACACGTATGTATATTATATAGTCACTTACTAGCGAAAAGTTGTTCCATTATTTCACTCAATTTTTGCCGAGATCTACCGCACGCTACACAACCAACTATTTTAGAGTCTTTTTCGATAAATCGCGATAGTGTCACTGTTAATTTAAGTTCTGCTATAATTTCCATCTAGATTTACTACCTTTATACAACTATCAGTAGTAGAATAAATAATAAATAACATAAAATAAGCTCCGTAAAGACTGACAAATCCACAAAATTTCAAATCAAATTCAAATGTGTCAAATGAATCGTCAAACAGATCTGTCAAGGATCCCCACCCTAGAGTGCTTCTATGGCGCTTTTTCCGCCCACTTTTTACCACCCCTTCCTTAGTCTTCTTATTCAAAGGGTCTTTGTCAATCACGCTAACATTTTAGAATAAGTAGGAGGAGCGCAGGCAGATGATCAGACCGGGCCTTTAAAACCTACGTCTGCGGTAAAAATTTACGTTTTTAATGTAAAAATGATAGCGCGCATGTCGATTCTAACTTCATCAAGCGATTAATCACTCCCAAACATTCGTGGCGTTTACTATATATTATAATGAGTTACTTACTTGTTAACTTTTCCTTTGAAACTTTCAATTCCTTTGAAGCTTTCTCCATGCTTTATTTCATATAGACGCATTTTAGAATCGCTCTTATCTGGTTTATTTAATTTCGATAAAACCGGATTAAGAAGTCTATATTCTTCAGTATTTTTATCCACTTCGAAGTCAGGGTTCTCAAACAGAGCTTTAAATCTGCTATCTTGAAGAATTGCAGAACTATTATTCTTTTTCTTTATTTGTTCATCAACAGTCATAAGTTTAAGTGCAAGATCTTTATTAACTTTGGGAAGTTTACTAACTTGAATCCTATCTTCCATTTCTTTTTCAATCGTCTCGCGAATCTTTTTCTTCCGGTATTCCTCAAATGCAAGTGGATCAGCCAAGGATTTTGCTTTTTTGTACAATCTAACGTCCAAAAAGTAACCGTGCATATAGGCCCTAAGTAATTTAGTTCCTATAAGATGGTCTAAACCTAACGCTCCTAATTCTTGTTTAGTGACAAATTTATAGTCATCATAAACTGTTTCTGAATGGGATTCTTCAAGTTCTTCAGTAAGTGAATCAAGAAAACTAGCCCATTTTGGGGCTGGCCCTAAACTAGGTATATAATAAGTTTGCATCTTGGTGCTTTCATTTGCTAAGAAGAATAACCCTGTATTTGGTACCAAACACAGATCATTAAACTCTGTAGAGGCCTCAATTGATGTATATAAGTTTCCCTAAAATCAAATAAACATATACATATAGGGTGTTTCTTCATAATATGCTAATATTTAAGGGATAGATTTTTGGACCTAGTCTCAGAAAAAAAACTCCATACGAATGTACGTCCTAAATATCTTAACTTTTGAGATACAGTGTGGTAAGATTTTCGAAAAAAAATCATCTATACTAATATATAAAATCCTTAAGTGACTGACATACTGATTAATCACGATCCTGCTCATCATACAGGTTGATTCTAGGGTGTAGAGGTTCCTTAAGAAGGGATTTTTCGAAATTCCAGTTCCAAGAGGGTGAAACCACCCCTCAAATATTACAATATTTTTTATTTAAAAAACGGTCAAGTTTTCGAAAAACGCTTAAAAACGTATATTTTATTTTGTTTTTTTACATATTTTAAGATTTTTTAAAAACGTATAGAGTGTGTTTCGAAAAATCTGGTCATTGATTAATGACGATCCTGCTTAAAGCGCTTGACGTAAAAAGCTGATTTTTGGAAAACAGATTGACTTTAGGGTGTAGAGGTTCGATAAGAAGAGATTTTTCGAAACTCGAATTCTAAGGGGGTGAAACTATTCCTCAAATATTAAAATATTTTTTATTTAAAAACCGGTGAGATTTTCGGAAAAACTCTTAAACACGTATATTTTATTTTGTTGTTTTATATATGTAATGTGTCATAATAATATATTACAATATTTGTTATTTAAAAAACGGTTAGTCTTTCGGGAAAACGCTTTTCGCAAACAAGCATAATTTATTTGTTTTTTTTACATATTTTGAAATTTTTTAAAAAATCATACAGGGTGTTCCAAAAAGTTGAGTAATATTGAACCACGATTCTGCTTAAACTGCTTGACGTAAAAAGCTTATTTTTGGCAAACGGATTTTTCGAAAGTCAAATTCCAACGAGATGAAACTACCCCTTAAATATTACCAAGTTATATAATAATATCGCCATATTGTTTTTTCTCATACTGACATAAATATGAGAAAATTTTATCCAGTTTGTATGTTAATGGAAATTCTTGCTTTGCTTTATCATTACCATTACAAATTATTAATTCGACGCGAACGAAGTCGCTGGTACACGCTAGTATCTTTATAAAATTTGATACACATCTTCTAAGTATCAAAATGCATTTTATTGCCATTTTAGCTATACATACTTGTATTAACACTCAACATTTAAAAAAAAATAACTGAATCAAAGTAATTCCTAGGAAAAGAGATTATATCTATTATACATTGGTATTACAAAGGAGCCATACATGGTCCGGCAATAATGCGTCGGGCATCTGTAGTTCCGAGAATAAAAAGTTTGGGAATATTGTTTAAGTGTAAATCTAAAGTATGTACGAGGATGCATTTCAGGAAAATATTTTAACTTCTATAGGGTGGCTCAAAAAAGTGTGAGTGGATCTTGATGAGTTTTTTTAAATGGAACACCCTGTATATTATTGCATTTTTGGCTTCCTTTCGGATCATTTTACATAGCCCTAAGACATGAGTAACTATATTTTGATAGTTTCAGAGATATTAATAAATAAATAAAAATTATAAATTTTTCAGCCTTTCTAAAAAAAATTATTAATAATGCAAGAAATGTCCTGAAATCAAAACTATATTATATATTTACTTTAGATGGTCTGTACTTACTTTGCTATAATTATGGAAATCGTAAATCATACAGGATGTTCAAAATTCTACGCCAAACTTTCTAAATATAAAATAACTTTTCTTCGTTTTTTAAATGGAACACCCTGTATCTTATTTTTTCAATAGATGGAGAATTAAAAAATTAACATTTTTTGTATTTAGAGTATTTCAAAATTTTTAACGGTTTGGCAGATATTCGCGGTTTTATATTTCATATGGCATTTTCCACAGTAAATTTTTATCAAAGCCACACAATGATTTTTCTTTTGTATTTTACCATTGAATGCGCCATATGAAATAACACTGCGTGTATCTGCAAAATTATTAAAAACTTTGAAATATGCACTTTAAATACAAAAAATGTTCATTTTTTAACTCTCCATATAATAAAAAAATAATATAAAGGGTCTATTTAAAAACAGAGAAAAAATATTTTATGTTTTAGAAAGTTTGGCGTAGAATATTGAACATCCTGTATAATGTAAGAACAGACCATCTAAAGTAAATACCTAATATAGTTTTGATTTCAGAACTGTTCTTGTATTTTTAATTATTTTTTTAAGAAAGGTTGAAAAATATATTATTTTTGATTTACTTTTTAATATCTCTGAAAGTATCGAAATATATTTACTCATATCTTAGGCTTATGTAAAGTGATCAGAAAGGAAGCCAAAAATGCAATAATATACAGGGTGTTCCATTTAAAAAAAATCATCCAGGTCCGCTCACACTTTTTTGAGCCACCCTATAGAAGTTAAAATATTTTCCTGAAATACATCCTGGTACATACTTTAGGTTTGCGCTTAAACAAAATTTCCAATTTTTTTATTCTAGGAGCTACAGATGCCCGACGCACTATTGCCGGACCCTGTAGAGAAACAAAAAATAAAATTGAATTTTATTTTTTTACAAATATGTTAAACAAATTTGTATATAACAGTAAAGCCTAAATTGAGATCGCTATATGTTTATTATTAAAATTTTGAATTTTCTGAGACTTCTTTTTCTAAATATCTGTATTCATGGATCTCTTAGAAATATACTTTTAGAAAAAAATTAAAATTACTTACACTATTTTTGTCCCACAGTTTTAATATTGTGTTATCCAAAGAATAAACTATATTATTCTGATAATGGAATTCAACGTTTTTAATAGGCAATCCATACATATGATCCTTAGTGATAAACGGTTTATCTGATCGTATATCGTAAAGTAATATTTGGCCAGTAGTTGTACCTACACCTAACTGCAATGCATCATTAAATTTTAATGATGATATTGATGGAAAACCTTGTAATCTAAAATAGAACCAAATATAGAAATTAAATTCAGCCAACCAACCTAACCTAACCTTAGAAATAATATGTTAAACGCTTTGAATAAGAAGACTAAGGAAGGAGCATATCAAAAATCTTAGGTACACCGCGATGGGCCTCAAATATGGCCGATTTAAAATCCGGTTTATCAATGTCGTTCTAATTTTATTTAAAAAATGTAAAACTATGATGTAGGGTAGACGTGGGGTAGACTCAATAATTTGTTGTTTTATTTTACGTTGTGAATAAATGTTGGTAGTTATTAAAATTGTTATAAAAATATAAAATTCTAATAAAAATAGATAAGTTATAATAATTATTTATAACCATAAACATCCGATACGGTACTGAAGCAGGTCAGTCAAATTGACGTATCTAAATTCTTTGACATCTAATCTTTGACAAGTAGTAAATAAAAGCAAAAATGCAAGAAAAAATATATACTAAGTTAATTTAAGTGAATTTCATAAATGATCGGTTTTACTACACGTATGTATATTATATAGTCACTTACTAGCGAAAAGTTGTTCCATTATTTCACTCGATTTTTGCCGAGATCTACCGCACGCTACACAACCACCTATTTTAGAGTCTTTTTCGATAAATCGCGATAGTGTCACTGTTAATTTAAGTTCTGCCACAATTTCCATCTAGATTTACTACCTTTATACAACTATCAGTAGTAGAATAAATAATAAATAACATAAAATAAGCTCCGTAAAGACTGACAAATCCACAAAATTTCAAATCAAATTTAAATGTGTCAAATGAATCGTCAAACAGAACTGTCAAGGATCCCCACCCTAGAGTGCTTTTTCCGCCCACCATGCATGAATACATGGATAGCATTATGCTCCTTCCTTAAAGTCTTCTTATTCAAAGGTTAAACGTAAAATTATCTGGTGAATGTTATTGATTATTATTTCTAAGGTCACTTTGAATCTGTATTTAATCTTATAGTATTATGCAATGTGATTATTGGAAATCGGATTATATGTACCGGGTGGCCAACTAAGAATGGACGCCGCGCCGGCTGTATCTCAGAAACTATTTATCATATAACTTTGGGGAAAAAATTCTAATAAGTAAATCGACCAAGAGAAATCGCTCTTTACCACTTTTTGTTTCCTAGCCTACTACTATAATTTGTTAGCCATATAATCCTAAGCGACAGCCTAACATGATTTGTTTTCTTAATATCTCCGGTTAGAGAGAAGATAGAAAGTTGCGGTTTGCGCTGATATTTTGGAAATTTTGTGCTCTATTTAACAGTAAAAAGCCCAAAAAGAAATATAGCCTCCTATTTAATTTTTTTATGCAAAAGCCCAATATCTGTTATGATGTCAAACAGCGCCCTCTAGCTACCACGAAAACAATTATGGAAACAAAATTTATACTGTAGATCATTAAGGAAGAAAAGCTCTTTTAAACGAGCCCTAGTTTGTTTAAATCGGCTAATCCAAACCAGAGTTATCCTTATTTTAACAAAAGCAAGTTTAAGCTTCCCCCACCACTTTATTTTATGAGATAGAGCAAAACACTCTACATCAAAAAAATTACAAATTTCTCGAGGATTACAATAGTAATATTTTTTTTAAAAATGTTAATTTATCTATTTCCTTTAAAACTATTAATACATTAAAAGCAAATTTGGTTAGAAATAAAGACAAAACGGAGAGGCTCTCTAAATCGGGAGTTTATTCTTTGAATTGTGGCGACTGTCAAGCGGTCTATGTGGGGCAATCAGGTAGAAAGATTTCCACCCGAGTACAGGAACATCTGAGCCTTGTCAATAAATACAGAAATTCGGATATAACTGAGACTAAATCGGCTTTTGCGAACCACTTATTAGCCACAGGTCACGATTTTTCCATCTCAGAAAACGTTAGTGTTCTGCACAAATGCCAAAAAAGTAAAAAACTTGATTTATTGGAGAAAATGGAAATAACTAGAGCTAAAAAAAGTCCGGTTCTTGTGTGCGTGAATGACATTTTTAATTTCGAACCAACATTAATTTTCAATAATCTGAAAGATTAATTCGGCCGTTGTTGAGTTCTGAATCTTTACTTCAGTAGTATGGTAGCTTGGTGGCTTTGCTCTCTGGTTCCCACCCGGGAGGCTAGAGTTCAAATCCCGCTGGGTTATTCCATTTTTTATTTTATTTTTGATTTTTTGTTCCTGTTTGTTTTTTATTGACAAATATTTGCCGGTCATTTCAGCCTCGTCTCAGTGTTGTTTTAATTGTAAAATGTGAACGGTGTATTTGGATTAATTTTAATTGTATTTGTAAGTTATGACGACCTTTTTATTATTTGTTATTTATTTAGGTTCTTTCTTGTTAGGTCTGATGATGCTCGTATATGAGCGAAACACGTGTAGCAGTTAACATTGTATAAACGTTGAGACCGAGACTTTGAGTCTTTTTTCTACTTTTTTAATTTAAAATACCTGTTCACTTGCATATTTTTGAGAAAACCCCTGTTTTCTGACTGACTATCAGAGAAACGCCCCCTAGCGGACATTTTTTGAACTTGAAAATAATTTCCAGCGAATTCTCTCGGTCGATTTACTTATCTGATTTTTTTCCCAAAGTTATACGATAAGTAGTTTCTGAGATACAGCCGGCGTCCATTCTTAGTTGGCCACCCGGTACTATCAAAATGCCAAAATAAGCATATAAATGTGCACGAAAAATTATAAATTATACAGGGTCCGGCAATAGTGCGTCGGGCATCTGTAGTTCCTAGAATAAAAAACTTGGGAGTTTTGTTTAAGTGCAACCCTAAAGTATGTACTAGGATGTATTTCAGGAAAATATTTTAACTTCTATAGGGTGGCTCAAAAAAGTGTGAATGGATTGCGTTGTTTTTTTTTAAATGGAACACCCTGTATATTATCGCATTTTTGGCTTCCTTTCAGATCACTTTACATAAACCATGAGTAAATATATTTCGATAATTTCAGAGATATTAATAAATAAATAAAAATGATCTATTTTTCAGCCTTTCTTAAAAAAATTATTAATAATACAAGAACTGTCCTGAAATCAGAACTGTATTAGATATTTACTTTAGATGGTCTGTACCATAGATTTAGGAAGAACAGATATTACATTGTGCATTTTAACCCGATCAAACAATCGGAGGTTGACTACGTACTGTAAAAACCAACTGAGATAGAGAAGGCGACATTACCACATCTCAAATTTGCGCCTATCTGCTTAGTTTGATTTGTAGAAAAGGTGACTTTTAAATTAATAGTTTATTTTTAAAGATGCATGCGTGATTAACCAGAGGATATATGCGTTACTATTAAAGGACATGTTTATTGTTTAATGTGCTGAAACGTCTAGAACTATTGGCAACGTCCCTGCTAGTCTTCCAGAATGAAAATGAGCCGTCCGTCCCACCACCCCTCGCGACGGCCCTTGGTCCGTTATAGCGTACTACGTTTAGCTTACGGTGTGTTTGAAGTCGGAATCAAGTCCAAAGTGAACTTTTCAGTGTTTTTCAGTAGTTTTTGCTTTTGTTTAACGTACTTTTGAATCTGCGATTTTCAATATGGTACGACAGTGTCAAATGTGTGGAAAAATAAGCTCAAATTACCCGAATTTGTCTTTTCACAGGTAGGTATTGTTTCCGCTGCGCCGTAATCGCCGTACATAGGCGTCCCACAAGGGAGCCTCTCACAATTAAAATAATTTCTAATTATATTTGTTGAATTTTGAGCTATTAAAACAGGAACGTAGTAGCCGGTAATTTAATTATAATTCGACTCAATTACTACTTAACTGTTGTAGATCATAACAAATTTGAATATAAACGTTGCATTTGAAACTTTATTATAAGCCCGAAAGTTACATTTTTTTCTTAAAATTGCGTCATATTTTGGTCATTATATACGATATTCTAAAGGAATTTTGCTCAACAAATACGTAGGTGTTTACCCGCCCTTTTTTACATTTTATTGCATTATTATATCTGCCCCTTCGGCCTCGTTTAAACAATCTTTTACCACCGTACAAATACCTCTTCCTAGAGTTATTTGTACGGTGTGTTTACCTTTTTTTTAGAATGGGACGAACTGTAAATAATTTTTAGGCTACTAGTTTTATACATACCTATATACAGAGTGACCCAGGCCTCCAAAAAAGCTTTTTACCTATTATGTTTTTGGTTTGTCGCACATTTTCAAAATATGTTTGTCAACATACAGGGTGATTCAAACCACAATACATATGCTTAATACAGTTCATGAAGATTCAGACATTTTTCTAAAATTTGATTGTCTGATGAAGCTACCTTTAAAAGTAATGGGTTTGTAAATAAACGTAATATTCAATATTATGCGACAGAAATCCCATACTGTAGCACACAGATTTGATACTTTTAATAATAAATGCCTTCTATTGAGAGACTAAAAGGTAATTGCCTCATATCAGAGCCATCATAATACAAGAAGAAGACCCAAAGTCAAATCTTGTCTTATATTTTCAAAAAAACACAATTTTCTCATTAAATATTCATTTTAGGTATAGGAAGTTATTAATAATACAAGATTAAACAACTATTACACAGTACTTCACAGGAAGCTATCGATTGCGAACTAACTAAATCATTACTAATTACTAATTTTGAAAAGTTCTTTTTAAGATCAAAAAAGGTAAAACTAAAACCTAAACTATCATTTGAGATTAAACGGGAAGTTCTAAATAATGTTGCCTATTCTAAACAAGAAAAAATTATTTATAAGTTTTATAACATCTCTAATTAAATTTGGACGAAAAGAATATTTCTGTTTGCTCTATGTAATTTTCTCAGGCAAAATACGTAAATAAAAATTACTTTTTAAGTCAAAAAAGTCAAAAAGACTGTCCTTTTCAAAAAAGGACAGGTGGCAATCCTAGGTATTTCTGGAATGGAAATTTAATGGTAAATCTACAACTTTAGTTTGAAAATATGTTCCGGCCACCTATGTTTACAAAAATGTCTAAAATGTGCTTTACCATTGCCTCCATATTCTGACAAAAAAAAATTGACAGAAAAGTCACCAACCACAAACCTAATATAGAACTGCTTCAGAAACTTGAGTCACCCTGTAAATATTCAAAAGTAACTGAAAGTTTATATAGAAGTAACTGAAAGTTTAAATTGAAAATCGACGTTGGAGCGATTTTCGAAAACTACCTACTAACGTTTCAACTTAAGTATATATGGGATATTAACGATATTATTATATTAGAACTTATAACAAAACTCATCTGACGAAAAAGTGTTAATTTAGTATATTAATATGGAGTAAAAATTTTACTAATTACTTTACTTTTACTTTACTAATTAAATTCCTTCCAAAAAACGATACGCCACTGGCCATTAGAACAATCCAAATGCGCCTAGTTGCCGGGGTCGGAAATTTTAGACTTCTCTGTCTCTTCTGTCCTTGTTTGACACATTGGAATGTTTGATACACTTCCAACGAGTATTTATGAATGAGATGTCCGGTCTATCTTTATAATGTCTTTGGTCTGTACTTACTTTGCTATAAATATGGAAATCGTAAATCATACAGGATGTTCAAAATTCTACGCCCAAATTTCCAAAATATTCAATAATTTTTCTTTGTTTTTTTTTAAATGGAACACCCTGTATATTATTTTTTCAATAGATGGAGAATTAAAAAATGAACATTTTTTGTATTTATAGTATTTCAAAATTTTTAACGGTGTCGCAGATATTCCCGGTTTTGTATTTCATATGGCATTTTCCACAGTAAATTTTTATCAAAGTCACCCAATAATTTTTCTCTCGTATTTTGTCATTGAAAGCGTCATATGAAATAATGCTGTGTGTATCCGGAAAACTATTAAAAATTTTGAAATACTTTAAATACAAAAAATGTTCATTTTTTTAATGCTTCATCAGATAAAAATAATATACAGGGTGTTCCATTTAAAAAAACGAAGTAAAATTATTTTATATTTTTGAAAGTTTGGCGTAAAATATTTAACATCCTGTATGATTTATGATCTTCCCCTAGGAGATGCAAGCTTCCCCTAGGAGATGCAAGACCTTGTCGTTGGTGGGAAGCTCCTGGTCAGGCGGGCTTGGTCTAAGAAGCATCTCACTCATCGTCTTGTCCCTGACTGTAGTGTCGTGGCCAGGGAATTGCACCAAGACATATAACGATACCGGGCGGGGCTACGGACAGCCTCAACCTTGGGGCACCGGGGGGCACCCCACTGTATTTTACCCCTTACTTCTACATGCGGGGCTCTGTAGAAGTGGACCGACTGTCCCTAGCGACTCATGGGAACACTATGAGATCTGGTAATAATAGTAATAAAAACATCACCGGTGAAGCTGTGGGAAAACCCCCTAGCAACACTGGGAACAGTTAACAATGAAAGTGCCAAGGGGCCAAACCCAAAGAGAACTACAGGAGAGGTGGCTGACACTTGCGTGAAACCATCCTCCGCAAGTGGCATACAAGTTACCACCTCTTCCAAGGGTCGGGAGCCTACCTCCAACCTCTAAACCCAACAGGCGACACAAGCTACCGTTTCGTCTACCCGGCCTGGGTCGTAGAAGGACACGGGCCAACTCCTCGACTGTGAAGGACACGGGTCTCCGTAGGAAGTCCTGGGTCTGTATGATGAGTTATAACTTAAGAAAGGGGGACACAATAGATCTCTAAGGTCGCAGAGATTAACCCCCCTCCCACTTATTCTAAATTCTAATTCTAATGATTTACGATTACCATATTTATAGCAAAGTAAGAACAGACTGTTTAAAGTAAATATCTAATATAGTTTTGATTTCAGAACAGTTCTTGTATTTTTAATATTTTTTTTAAGAAGGGTTGAAAAATATATATTTTTGATTTATTTTTTAATATCTCTGAAACTATTGAGATAGATTTACTCATATCTTAGGATTATGTAAAGTGATCTGAACGGAAGCCGAAAATGCAATAATATACAGGGTGTTCCATTTAAAAAAAGTCATCCAGATCCACTCACTTTTTTGAGCCACCCTATAGAAGTTTAAATATTTTTCGGAAATACGTCCTGGTACATACTTTAGGTTTGCACTTAAACAAAATTCTCAATTTTTTTATTCTAGGAGCTATAGATGCCTGACGCACTATTGCCGGACCCTGTATATTAAAAAACACAAAGTATGCACAATCAAAATACTATTTTTATATGGTTTAGAAAATATGATTATTTCACAATATATTTACATAGAGGGTTTTCTAGCATCTAATTTGGACACAAATCAATTTTTATATTTATGGTAAAGGATATTTTGATTAGGGGTGTGCTTTCTCTTTTACTAAATGTGCCATTTTAAGCTTTTTGAGTCCTACATAAAATTATGAGCATATTATACCGGGTGCGTCTCGAAAGTGTAGTAAGTAATAAAGTATACATACTGACATACTGTACAATCACTGATTACAATAATTGTCTGTCAGGGTCTGGTAAACATTAAGTACCTCAGAATTTCGCAATTTTTATTTTTTTAGTCGAAAGCTCTATTGCTATAGAACAGTTTAAAAGAAAAAAATCCTTGGATGAAGCACTTCTGAACCAAAAAAATTCATTTAAAAGTGTCTAAAATGCTAACGAATCTATCAGAGCAAATTATTAAAATATAAAAACCACAGCTTAACACCCTCCACAAAGAAAAGCTAACCAAACCAATCCACATTGGTTAGGATTTACCAATCTAATAATATTTTTGTAAAATCACAGTTAATTATTAAAATATAAAAACCACAACTTAACACCCTCCACAAAGAAAAGCTAACCAAAGCAACCCAAATGCTCAAAAAAAACTGTATGATCCAACAAATTTTTTGTCTTAATATGCTCTATTTACAGTAATCTTTCTAAGAAAACAAAGAAAAGTGTGAAATTCCAAAGTACCTAAAGTTTACTAGAACCTTCGGTCATTTAAAGCCAAAAGTAGATTTTTATTTCTGTAATTTTAAGAATGTTGTCTGTCAAGGTTGTCTTAGTTCCTTGCTAGACAGACCACTGGCCAGCAAGAAAGTATATAGTAAAATACGAAATATGAAGAGTTACTTAATTATATACATTTATGACAATATTAAATTTATATATCTTACTCTTTGTTTTCTGTGACACATGTAAAAGCACAATCCAATACACCGACTCTCTCTTTTATTCGTGGATCCCATGCCTCTACTCTGCCCTCTTGCGTACCACACACTAATAAATTATGAACACTATTTATTGCACATTTGTTAATTTCAGTTGCTTCACTGCTAAATGGTGTCATAAATTGACCTCTTTCTAAATTTAATCGATATATTTCTGACGAGGCGCCAACAATAAATAAATCACAACTGGGATAATGGTACTGCAAGTCTCGTCCAAATTTTGGAATTCTTAATCTGTAATATCTTCCATATGCTGCATGAAATTCAATATACCGATCACATTGAAGAAACACCAACTACAACAAAATGCATATAAAGTATTTCTTTTGTAACTTTTTCTTGTTTGAAATATTAAAGTTTTAAATAAATACCTTGCTATAATCATCACTAAGTACTTCAAAAGTTACTGCTTCTGAATCAAAACATCTTTCAAATTTTAAAGATAAATTATTCACATCAAAGCATTTTATTCTTGGCTTATAAATTCCACTAGCCAAAATATAGTTACCATCTCTTGAAACTCGGATAGTAGTACTGAGACCTGGCATGTCGAAATCTTGAATCAGTTCAATTCTTCTCTTAATATCCACATTTTTTTTAAGTAAAGACCGTCGTTTCCGCTCAGACAACCACTAAAAAATATGTAGCATATTTATTTCAATAAATTAAACTAGTTAAAAAATTACCTCGGGTAAAGATTTTCCTGCGCTTAAATTATATATTTTTACATCGTTTGGTTCAGACACCTGCATGATTTTACTTTTCTTCAAATTTTAGCAACAATATAAAAATATCATAAAATCCATTTAAAAAAGAAAAACAAGAATGTACTTTGTTATTTGCTCTCTCAGAGTATAGTATATCTATTTTCTCTTCCTATATTTTTTGATCTACATCTACAATATTTTTATCAACTCAAGAAGCTGACACAGGACTGAAATAACCTAAAAAACAAAAATAACCTAAAAATCTGCTAAAAATCTTGATTATAGACCACAGATAACATATACAGACAGATGCCACAGAAACAGTTTTTATGTGTAGTAGTTAAGTCAGGGTTGCCACAAGCTACACAATTGTGTACTTTGCTACACATTTGCTTCAATGATCGCACAACTACACCACAATCGCCTAAGCTACACATTTTGAGAATTTACATATTTCGTATAAAAAATAATACCAGAACAGAAAATCAGCCGACAAAAGCTGATTTTTTTGCTTTTAAGTTATCTAAGTTAGTACATTAAAAGCTGCCGCAAGTGTACTTTGAATTTTGAACTGACAAATATAATTTTCCGTCATCAGTGTTCAGGTGTTCAGTAAAATTCCAGAGTATGAATTGGGTCATGAGCCAAGGACCAATAGACCAGAGCCAAAAACGCCAAATAGATAGGATTGCTTAATCTCTTAAATAATACATAATACGTACTTTGGCCAAATTTCACTGCTCAGTTACGTCACTGTAGTTCACAGTCTCACTTCCGCTCGTTTGCATACGTGACTATTATTCAATTCCTATTTCACTTCCTCCCATGTCAGCAAGGACCACAGTTTCTATAGACAAATTTGGCTGATTAAACAGTCCTGAATAGTTTACAGTTTTTAAATAGAATTCTAACCGGTCTAATTTGTCCACAAAATCCTTAGTTTTGCGGCATCAATTTTGACGTCACTGCAATCCTTGCTGGCATGAGAAAAAATGAAATGGGAAATGAATATATTGACGGATATGAACGAGTGGAAGTGATATACGTAATCATGCTTTAAAATTTGCCGAACGTACGTCTTATTGGATAGTTTACAGATGGTTTACAGTTATTGGTCATGGATGGCTACACAATGCTACACGTTTTTATGGCCAAATTCTGCACAATCGAAAATTTTCTTGTGGCAACCCTGAGTTAAGTTAACCCAGAAATATCTCTATATCTCTGAACCGCGCTCTCCTCTGCCATCACACCATCACACCAATGATGAAGAAAGAAGTACTTCTTTCTTCATCATTGCCCAAGACCGTCTTGGCGTCTCGAGACGCAACTATAAATACGGGCCTTATGCAGAATTCCATATTGTTCTTTCACTGTTTGGGCTTCACTTTTTGGAGATTAGGCTGAGTATATTTGTAAAAAGCATAGATTTTTTATAATGTCTTTGGTAAAAAGTAATACGTATATGCATCACACCAACGTATGTAAAAAATAGTGTATTGTGACAGAGTTGTTAAACTACACGTAGTAATTAATAAACTACATTTACTACATGTCACAAGTAGTTTTTTAAATGTCGAGTAGTAAATGTGTAGTTTATGTAACTAATGTAGTTTTTTTAAATAACAGTGAAAACATAACCTAAAAACTCTGTTTGGTAATGCTGTGGATCCGGTGGCTGACCTTGAAACGAGTTTTTGCTGCATATAGTCACAGATACTACGCATGCGCAAATCGTCGATGTTGCCGGAGTGCAAGTTATTTTGGAATTATTTTCAGTAGAAAACAAATAATTTTAATTTTCCTTCATATGTGTTTTTCAGTGTTTTTTTGTCAATATATACCGTATGATCGAAAAAACGACGTCCAGTTGGCTGGGAAATGACGATTGAGGACATTTCCCATATAAATTTACATAAAAAATGACAGCGATCATTTCATAGTCATCGCTGACGCTATTTTTTTCGATCATAGTACGGTATATTATTTATATTATTTTAATATTTCGCACAACACGTGAATGCTTATTATGTATTTTCATAGTCAATAAAATTAAATAGAAATAAAACTCTAGATTCCTATAATTATTAATCTAATTGCTCTAGATTATTATGCAACGTTTAAAAAGGGCTTTATTAAAAATTCGGGAAATTAAAAGGGAAGTGCCCAAGTTTTTTCTTTTTTTTTTAATTTTTAAATGCTGTAGCTCCATGTCATGTTCATAATAGTTTTTGTTAACATTCCATCAAAACTACGGAGGCCTTAAAAGGCCTTTTAGCCTCCGTAATTAAAATTGTAGAATCAGCTTCAGCAACATTAACAGTTATATACCTTGTTTAATTCTGCTTATACATATATTGCATTAATTTTTCTGCTACCTTAAGATTTCTCTATTCTTACTCCTAATTTAGAATAGCATATATGATTTATAAACCATATTTTTCCTAATGGAAGGATGGAATAGGATATGCAAAATTAAGATATTTTAACGTTTATTTTATAATATAGTATTAAGATTAAGACATAACAAATATTATAAGAAAGATCTTAATATAAATCCCAAACTAACTAGTCTTAATTTGGTCTTGTAACTCAACCTTCACCATATTGTCAAGATTTGGCATTATAGGGAAATATAGGAAACAAGAAATTACAGTAAATTAAGAAAAGAATATCAAAGTACACGATATTAAATACTGTAATGTATTCTACGACACAAACCATCTCCCTTCTAAAGAGAAAAAGATAAAACATATATAAAGCTTATTTTAGTCTTATCACCACACTCTTCGATAAAATATATGTCTAAAATTGCTATTAATCCATTAACTTGATATTTTTAAGAAATTATCATGGAAATTATGATACAAACATTATAATCAAAGTATATTATATTAGTAACATTATAGGTAAAATGTTACCTCTATCTCCCATTGACGTGTATTGTTCTATAAGATTCGTCATGGTAGTACTTCAATACATCAATACATATAATCAAAACTATTGTTGCCTGTAAATAACTAGAAATTAAATAACTTGAAATAAAATAATTCTAATAAGTTTAAAACCATTAAGAAAAAATCCGTAAATGATAATTTTTAATTCTAATATAAATGTATAAATAAATGTTATTATTATTACAATTTTATATATCATTCCTTAATTTTGGATATCAAAATAAATCTGAAATTATAAAATTAATTATAGAATTTGTATTATTATTGATTAACACTCAAAAAAAATTATCAACTGCAAATAATTCGAAAATAAACTGCAATTTGGCAACATCGACGATGTGCGCTTGCGTAGTATCGATGATCAAATGCAGCAAATTGGGCTTCAAGGTCAGCCACCGGATCCACACCTTTACCATTTTAATAACTACCAACATTTATTCACAACGTAAAATAAATAAAAAAATTATAGAGTCTACCACACGTCTACCCTACATCATAGTTTTACATTTTTTAAATAAAATTAGAACGACACTGATAAACCGGAATTTAAGTCGGTCATATTTGAGGCCCATCGCGGTGTACCTAAGATTTTTGATATGCTCCTTCCTTAGTCTTCTTATTCAAAGGTGTGGATCCGGTGGCTGACCTTGAAACGAGTTTTTGCTGCATATAATAAATGAGTTTTTGCTGCACAGACATTACGCATGCGCACATCTTCGATGTTGCCAGATTACAAGTTATTTTGGAATTATTTTCAGTAGAAAACAAATATGTGCTTTTCAGTGTTTTTTGTCAATATATACCGTATGATCGAAAAAACGGCGTCCATTTGGCTGGGAAATGACGATTGAGGACATTTCCCATATAAAATGACATCGATCTTCATTTCATAGTCATCGCTGACGCTATTTTTTTTCAATCATAGTACGCGGTATATTATTAATATTATTATTTTAATATTTCGCACAACACGTTAACGCTTATGATGTATTTTCATAGTCAATAAAATTGAATAGAAATATAACTCTCCTATTCCTATAATTAATCTAATTGCTCTAGATTATTATACTACGTTTAAAAAGTGCTTTATTAAAAATTCGGGAAATTAAAAGGGATATGTCCAAGTTTTTTTCTTTTTTTTTTAATTTTTAAATGCTGTAGCTCCATGTTATGTTCATAATAGGTTTTGTTTAACATTCCATCAAAACTACGGAGGCCTTAAAAGGCCTTTTAGCATTAATTAAAATTGTAGAATCAGCTTCAGCAACATTAACAGTTACCTTGTTTAATTCTGCTTATACATATATTGCATTAATTTTTCTGCTACTCCAAGATTTCTCTACTCTTACACCTAATTTATGTGATTTTCTTAGCATAATGTGATTTATAAACCATATTTTCCTAATGGAAGGATGAATAGGATATGCAAAAATTAAGATATTTTAACATTTATTTTCCAGACAAAGCATAATATAGTATTAAGATTAAGACATAACAAATATTATAAGAAAGATCTTAATATAAATCACAAACTAAATCTTAATTTGGTCTTGTATAAACACAGGTATAAACTAATAAGATCAAACTCAACCTTCACCATAGTATTGTCAAGATTTGCATTATAGGGAAACAAGAAATTACAGTAAATTAAGAAAAGAATATCAAAGTACACGATATTAAATACTGTAATGTATTCTACGACACAAACCATCACCCTTTTAAAGAGAAAGATAAAAAACATAAAGCTTATTTAGTCTTATCAACACACTCTTCGATAAAAAATATATGTCTAAAATTCATTCTAAAATTGCTATTAATTCACTAACTTGATATTTTTAAGAAATTATGATACAAATATTATAATCAAAATATATTATATTAGTAACATTGTAATCTATCTAAGTGGACTGTATAATACAAATTGATTTGAGTCCGTTTGTTAATGGAATATTATATTTATACTATTTTTACAAATCAAAATAATATCTTGACAGATCAAAAACTAAAAAACTATTTTTTTTTAAATAAACATGTTTCGATGACAACGGTGATTTTTAGAATATCTGATATAAATTATAAAAATTTTATTATCTAACATCCCGCCGGCCTTGAAATATTTATTTCAATAAAAAGCTCCTCTGTGGGAAGAACACATAATATTGTAACCGGACGTTTACATAAAGAACCATCACTACATTTGAGTGTTACAACACGCGTAATTTTATCGACACCTTCATGAAGTTCAATAACTCGACCAAGTTTCCATTTGAATAGAGGTAGATTATCTTCTTTAATTAATACCAACGTATCCAACTTAAGGATATTTGGAAAGTCTTTAAACCATTTAGTTCGTGTTTGAAGATTAGAAATGTATTCACGATTCCACCGTTTCCAAAACTGTTGTACCATTTTTTGTTGGCGTTGGTAATTTGACAAACGATTTTCCAGTATGTTAGAAACGTCATCTTCCGGAACTGCAGTCAATGGTCTTCCAATCAGGAAATGTGCCGATGTCAATGGAGTCAAATCTTGTGGATCCGATGACAATGGAGATAGTGGACGAGAGTTTAACACCCCTTCTATTTGTACTAAAACCGTTGAGAGATCCTCGTAAGTGAGGCTAGTGTCACGAATTATACGTTTAAGATGGTACTTTACACTTTTAACACCAGCCTCCCACAAACCCCCAAAATTTCGTGCCTTGGGTGGCATAAAATGCCACTGAATGCCTTCAGTTGCTAAACAAGTACTTACATAATTAGAATTTTTATTAAATTGTAGCATTAAGCTGAATTAGCACCTATAAAGGTGGTACCATTATCCGAATATAAGTGTAAGCCTCGCCTGAAACAAAAACTTTTAAAACTGATAAAAAGCTTGACTAGTCAAATCGGTTACTATATCTAAATGAATACATTTTGTACTCATGCAAACAAAAATACATATATAACCTTTTACTGTTTTTGAATTTCTGGTTTTCCGATCCCGAATAAAAATAGGTCCTGCATAATCAATACCAGTATGA